GTAAAAGCAAGGGCATTCTTATCATCATCAGACTCATCTTCCTCACTCTCTTCTTGGTCACTCTCACTCAAAGTGGCAGCCATAGCCTTACCTTTCTTCTTTTTCAACGTGTTAGCATACTTAGATTGTATATGCCCAAACTCCTCACACTCAAAACAATTGATAACCTTATTTTTCATTACTTTATCTTTCGAAAATCTTTTTGAAAAGGTATTAGAGGTTTGCTAGTCATAAAACTTTTCCACAAAAGGTTTTCTACTATTTCCAGTCTCAAAGGGCTTTTTCATGTTTTTCTTCAAAAACTTTGAAAAATTCTTTCTAAATAAAGTACAACTTTCATCATCCAAGCCACTTGAATCAAAGTTTAGAATCTTCCTCATGTTTAAGAGCCAAACGTTTGCTCAGTTTTTTTATTTTCCCATCGTTTCAAACTCAGCTCAAACATTTGAAGAGAGCCAATGAGTTCATTAATGTCCATAGCATCCACATCTCGACATTCTTCTATGGTAGTTGCTTATGACATGAATCTCTTGGGAAGAGAGCAAAAAACTTTCCTGACAAGTTCAATGTTAGAATAAATTTTTCCCAAAGCAAAACATTCATTAGACACATCACAAACTCTACCATAAAAAGCAGTGATAGTCTCATCTTCATGCATAACCAAATTTTCAAAATCAGTCACAAGTCTTCTAAGTCTATTTAGTTTAACAGTACTAGTGCCTTCTTTTTTTACTTATAACCTATCCCAAGCATCCTTGGCAAGCTCACAATTAGCTATGACTTTCATTTGGTTCACATTAACAGAATTGAAAAGAGTATGAATGGCTTTAGAGTTATAATTTGCAAGAGTTAATTCAGCAGTGGTCCAATTAGCAATGGGTTTTGGTCTAGACACTTCATTTTCAACAATAACTGGGCTATCCAACCATTCACAACCGTGGACCAAACTCTTTCATCAATGGACTTAAGAAAAGCACGCATCCTAAGTCTCCATGTATATTAGTTAGAACCCTCTAACAGGGGTGGTCTATGAGTTGACCCTTCTTCAATAAAGAAGCACATGATGGTAAACACTTAAACAGATGTGAGCACACTAGATCGATGTGCACACACGAATAAGTAGCAGACCAAAAACAGAACACGTCAATAGACCAGATTTCGACCAAACACAAAAACAATCAGATGCACACGAAAGCAAACAAAATGGGTGAGGATCAACTAAAAGAACTTATCAAAATAGGCTCTGATACCACTTGTTAGAGTTGGTGAACTCTAGTTAATGTTTAGGTACCCATTTTTAAAGTGCAGTGGAAGTTTTTACTAATTTGATTAATGGTTATCAAGTTAAGCACGAATCAATCATCCATAAATAATAAATGTAAAGCACACCAACATATATATGGTTTGGCTAAAACTACTCTTAGCTTACATCCATGTGACCTCGTCCAAATCAATGCAAATCTACTAAACAACAAACATTACAAGATATAGTTCAAAGTTGATTTTAGCTACAGCAAAGAGAATTCCCTATTATAGTTACACTAAACACCACCCTCTAAATCTCTAATGTCTTGTTGCTCCAAGGACCTTTTCATGCCAGGAACACACTTGAAGAACACTTGAGCTCCGCCCAAGCTTCACACACCAAAGCCACACCTAGCATCAATAATGGAACCAAGTTTCAACTGCCATTCAATCAAGTATAAGAGATGATGAAAGTTTGGCACATAAACATAAGGTGAACCTTTGAGGATAAAAAAATAAAAATAAAAATAAAAAAAATAAAAAAAACACTCTGAAAATTTTAGAGCACAAGCAAAATAAAATATCAAAGGTTAGCTTTACAAATGAGCAAGAATGAAGATGACATAAGCCAATTTCGTGCTCCTCAATTCTTGCCAAGTCAGCAAACAAGGGCTGACATATGTTGGTCAAAAAATGGAAAAAATTCCATCTATCTTTTGGGACCATAACTAAAAAGGGAAAACACTTATTTCCCTAGACCAAAAGAGGATATTGGGACACCTATAGGTGATCCTCATGACAGCACAACAGATGGGAAAAAATATCTTGGCTGATAAAGATAAAAACGCAACTTGTGCAAAAGTAAGTCAGACTTGCAATGTTAGCACAACAGAAAAGTGTGCTCACACATGAAGTAAATCATGAAATAAAATGCAACAAGCAAATCGCTAACATATATGTGCAAGCACACATCCACTGTGCACACACATGAAATGAAAATGCAAAAGGCATAAGCTTGACATAGCTAAACACGTGGAGAACAAAAAGAATTCTAACTTTTTGTTGGACCACATACATATCTTTTCTCTTTCTTGCAGGACCACAGACAAAGCTTCACAACCTTTAGGACCACATAAGGAAATTGTGACACCTATAAAGTTATCTCATATAAGAATATCATGAATCAAAATAAGCTTGATGTGCAAGACAACAAAGAGAAAACACCACTTGGCAAAAATGTGTCAAACAGTAGATGCTTGCATAGAAGAACTAAGTGCTCATATTTGCTCAACAATTCATTGTCCACCATAAGGTCTATAGCTTAAATTAGACTACATTTTAGCTTTTACTGTATATATGCTCATTGAGTAATAAAATATTTTTTCTTGTCTAGTTAATGTTTTGTTGTTAAGATTTGTGTTATAATGGAGAGAACCAAAGTTATTATCTTTATTAATTTCTAAAACGAAATAACATTTATCATGAAAGTAAACCAAGTGTAGGGATCATAATGTAAGGGGAACTGAATTAATCCATCCGTGAGTAGTTTAGATGGTTAGGATGAATTGGGGATAGTGTGGATAAATGCACAGTCTCAGGTTCGATTTTTCATCAGAACATTCCCAATTTAAGTAGGGGTATTGATTAGTTTTAAACCATTAAAAGAAAATTTTAATTTTATCGAAAACTAAAACCTTAGATTTTAAAATATGAGGTGGTCTGAATTTCAGAAAATTTTGCAAATATGAGATGAGACATGTGGTTATAGGTTTAGGTGAGACAATTGGGGTGGTCCAATACTAATAAATAATACATCTGTAAACTTAAAGTTGGAAAAACTAGATCTTTGTCTCATTCTATGCTAGCTAACCGCGCAACTAGAGGTGAGCACGGGTAGCAGGTAAACTGGAGCTGGAACCGGAGCCGAAACCTACTTGGAACCGACATTGTGTGGGTAGGTTTTGGTTCTATTTTATAGGAATTGACACTGTGCGGTTCCGGTTCTGATTCTTACAGGTTTCGAAACCAGAACCGAAACCAAAACCTGGGAAAAGAACTTGAAGTGGTTATCCAGCTTGGAACCTGTTTGCGTTTTGATTTTGATTGAGAAATTTTATGTGAATTGTAATGAATTGATTGAATTCAAGTTTGGCCTAGAGATTAGAGGATTTATGAGTCACATTGGACATAAATGAATGAGTAATCAAAATTTGAAAACTACTAAATGTAGGTTTTCTTAATTTGTTAGCGGTATATTTGTAAACTTTTAAGGTATTTTTGTCATTTTTTAAACTAATAGAGGAGTAATAAATTTTTTACAAGGTACTAGGGTAAGGAACCAGAACCTGCATTTTAGGTTATTGTTCCTTTTTTTGGGAACCTGCATCGTGCAGTTTTGGTTCCCTCGAAAAATGTAGGGTATCCAGAACTGCTCACCCCTACACGTATCTCTATTTTATTGTATCTAACTTCAAATTGGAAACTCTATTTAATAAACCTTAATCTAAATTTAATTAATTGTATCTCCAAACTTTAATCCTTCTTACTATTTTCTTACAATTTTTCATGGGGTGGTCATGTCAGTACAAACTGGACTGATTGAATAACATTATTTTATATGATTCGTATCACTTTATTTCAGTGTCATTTAATATAAATAGCATATGGTTTGTTTGTTTTATTATTTTAAGTAGTATTTTTGAAAAAGGTAGAGTTGGGTTACTATTACGAGGATATGATTTGAAAATTAATAAAAATATCTCTTAGGTTTGTTAATTTAGCTAAACACCCCCTATAATAAAACATTAAAAATTAACAAAAACACCCCCACCCACCCATTAAATGCCGGCAGTCGGCCACCACCGCCGGAGGGTGGCTAGATGGTGTTTTTGTTAAATTTTAATGTTTTATTATAAGGGGTGTTTAGCTAAATTAACAAACCTAAGGGGCTTAAAAAAGTTGAATAGAATAGGATTGGATTTTGAGAATAGGGAAACAAATACGTATTTTCAGTAGGATAATAAGATAGAAAAACAAATGTAGCCATAGAGATTTGCCTAGTTAGTAAATTCGCGAATTATACGCCCATCCGTATAATTCGTGTATTATTCGCGAACAACCGTATTTTATAAGCACAACCGCATTATTCGCGAATTATTCCCGTATCCGAATTTTTGTCGAATTTTTATAAACGTATTTTTTACCATTTTCTGTATCATACCCGTAAAATTCCCGTATCCTTTTTTGGCCATACCCATATATTTGAAATATTATATAGATTTTAACCAAGTGGCTCATGAAAAGTGATAAAACTAGGATTGATATTACCGTATTTTTCAAAACGTATTATTGACAATGTCTCATATTAAACTCGTATATACCTGTATCGTATTTTTTTTTGTATCTAAATTTTATGATCGAATTTTTATAAATATATGTTTTACCATTTATCGTATTATACCCGTAAAATTTTCGTATCTTTTTTTATCGTACCCATATTTACTAACTAGGGAGATTTGTGATGAGCCGGTATGGCTAGTTTTTTTCACTTGAGACAACAAATGTCAAATAATTCAAGATAAGGACGGCCAATAATTAAGATAAGAACAACCGTTTCGAGAAAAAACTCGCAATGTTATAATTATTTATGAAAAGTAAGGCGAATCATATTCCAAGAGTTTGTTTTTGAGAGTTATTGTGGGTTTAAAGATACTGTATGTTAGCATCATTAAGAGAGCATTTGTATCATGGCTTACATGGCGTCATCCAACACCGTTAAAATACAGGAAGTGACCCAAGTTACTCCTTTCTCCGACTCAACCACTGAATTTTCTCTTCCTCTAACATTATACGACACGTTTTGGTTTAATTTCCCTCTTGTTGAACGCCTTTACTTCTATCAAATCACTGACTTAACCCCTCGTTTCTTCAACTCGTTTATCCTCCCGGACCTCAAGCACTCTCTTTCTATCACTCTACTCCAAAATCTTCCTCTTGCTGGTAATCTAATCTGGCCCACAGATGCCCCGAAACCATACATCTACTATTCCCCAAACGATGGCGTTCCATTCATTGTTGCAGAGTCTACCGAAGACTTCAATTCGATTACTGATAACGGAGTTCATGAGGCTGTGGAGCTCCATCCTTTGATCCTTCAGTTGGTGACATCTGATGACCAAGCAGCGATGATCGCTATACAAATAACTTTGTTTCCGAATCAAGGGTTCTGCATCGGCATAACAAGTCACCATGCCATACTTGATGGGAGAAGTTCAACCATGTTTATCAAGTATTGGGCTTATTTATGCAAACAATTAGGTAAAGATCCAAAAGAAGAGCCTTCTTTTTTACCAGAACTAATCCCATCTTTTGACCGAACCATCATCGAAGATCCGACTGGTATCGACATGGAGTACGTGAACAACTGGTTCGCTTATACCAGAACACGAAGTTTGAAGGTTTTGCCACACTTAACGCCGAATACCGATGGGGTTCGAGCCACATTTGAGTTGACCCGTGAGGATATTCAGAAAATAAGGAATCAGGTATTGCTTATATTGAATAAGGATAATGGAGAGGAGGCCGAGAAACAACAACAACGATTTCATTTATCAACTTTTGTGCTAACGTTAGCATATGTATTTGTCTGCTTAGTTAAAGCCAGAGGAGGAGAAGATAATAGAGAGATTATATTTGGATTCACAGCAGATTACAGGAGCCGTTTAGATCCTCCAGTTCCATTGAATTATGTTGGCAACTGCGTTATGCCACATTTTCGCATTGCGATAGCAAGAGATTTCACAGAAGAAAACGGGGTTGCCTTTGTCGCAGAGAAGTTAAGCGATGTGATAAAAGAAATAGAAAGGGGAGAACTTGAGGGAAGACAAGACACACTTTCAAGGATGCTGACGTTGATGGAAACTCTGTCTGAAGGAGTACAATGCCTTGGAGTATCCGGGTCGACCCAGTTTGACGTTTACGGGTCTGATTTCAGGTGGGGGAGACCCAGGAAGGTAGAGATTGTGTCCATAGATAGGATTGGAGCTATTGCTTTGGCCAAGAGTAGAGATAAAAGCGGTGGTGTTGAGGTTGGTGTCGTTTTGAAGAAGCAAGAAATGGAAGTTTTTTCTTCTCTATTTGTTGATGGGCTAAAAGATTGAATGGTAGTCAACATTTTTACATTTATTTATTTATTTTATGATTAATTGTTCTAATTTCCCGATAATCAAATCTATAATATGTTTTGGATTTTCATTTTCCCTTTTATTTATGATGGATCTCCCCCATTTGTCATCTTTTTGTTGTACTCATTATATATATTGTTGTGTGTGATTTTTCCATCAAGGTCGAAGAGTTGCGGCATTATAGCTCGATCCAGAAATAGTTCGACTCAATCGGTTGTCCGACCCAACATAAGCTCGTCGAGTTGTAGCTCGACCTAGCACAAGCTAGTCGCGACCAATCCTTACAGCTGTTCAACCAACACACAGATAACTTCAAATCCCATAAATCTCGAAAGGGATCAAATCGATAGCAATCTTGGCGCAATCTTAATGCTTAATCGCAATAATATTGGAGTTGCATTTCAATCTTAATTGTAATCCCTTTATTTTTGCTCTTTCCTTTGTACGTAATTTGTATATAAACCCCCTCAAACGATGAGAAAGGGGTTAGTAAATTGTTCTATGACCATTATTATAAGTTCTCATAGCAAATACAAAAATGGTGGACATAGGCTCAAGAGGTTAACTCGCCGAACAACTTTAAAAACTCATTGTACTGCATTTTCTGTTTATACATTATTAGTTACCTGTAATCATGCACACATTAGTTCTGATCCCGACAGGGTCAATCGATTGCTCAAGTTGATGCAAATTTTGTAACAACAGTTGGCGCTAGAATGAGGGCCCAGGTTTACCTAGGATAAGCGTGCCAATTTGTACCCACGCCAAACCTCCCAAGCCCCTCATCTGGGGGGCTGTGTTGATGCCAAACTCCCACATCGACTAAGAGACGAAGGCTTTGGTCGCTTATATAGCACAAGGACACTTTCACCACCTAAAGGCACATTTTAAGGGCAAAACTGTGCGGGCCTACCAACAGTCCAACCTATGGCCCAAAACAGACAATACCTCTAGGAACCCACTTATCATGTGACTGGAGATTGGATAACAACAATTGGTGCTAGAAAGAGGGCCTTTGCCAAATTTCAAAATTTCTAGTAAACAAACTTCAATGACACGATCACTCAAGGCCCATGATGGTTTGAACTAGATCAAAGACCACTACTGGAAACCATGAAAAACGTGGAAACCATCCACTAGGAGGTGCACCACGACGGCACCAGGCGTCGACCACCAGTATCACCAGTGCAGCAGGCCACAAACCAGTTGGGGGCAAGGACATCAAATCCCGAGAATGGCCAATTGGTGGAGATGATCAGAACGATGGTCGCACAGACTATGCAACAAAATGTGGTTGAGATAAGAAATCAACAACCAGCCCCCCAAGACCTTGACTGGTTGCGCTTCACCGACGTCACCCCAACAGGTCAAAAATCGATCGACAACCAATCTAGTTCATCAGTACCGAGGCACGGTCAACGATCCTGACATCGTTGAAAACATTCTGCACAAGAACGAGTGTCCCGCAAACAAACTAACTTCGGGAGGCGACCGAGCAAACAGCCCATAGGAGAAGACGAAGATAATGGTCAGCACAGGGATACCCGACCTGCTAGGTAGTATCCCCAGTGTCAACGTGCCAGTTTTAACCCACACCCAAGGCAGGCTCAGTCTTTGCAAGCTCGCGAGACGAGTCATGTGTGCCAATCTAGCAATAACCGATGTTTCGATTATAACAAACGTTGCGAGCAACGCACTGATAAGCATGATGACATCTACCATCCCAACCATCATGATTCAACCCCATGCATCAATGCGCATAATGGACGGGGCTCACAAGCAACAGATTTGCGAACTCACTTACTGAGGTAAGGCTGAACAAAGCCAGCTAGGGCAATCCTTAGAACGAAGACCTAGATCGGGTGTAGAAAATGCTTGACTATCTAAGAACCCACTAGAACATTGCGACGAAAGAGATAGTGAGCTTTCCCTTCATAGAGGAATTTTTCCAAGCCCCACTTCCCTAGGGATTCAGGGCGCCAAAAAGTAAATTCAATGGGAAAGAAGATCCCAGAGACCAGTTTAACACTTTCAACGACCCGATGGAGCTGCACCAAGTCTGTGACTAAGCAAAGTATCGTTGCTTCGTGGTCACATTGGTAGGAGATGCCAAAAGATGGTACAAAAGGCTCAAGGCGAACTCAATGAACTCTTGCCAGTAGTTCTCCTCGTTGTAACTACAATAACTCCAAATGAGGAGACCCTTCACAATGCTGCTCAACTACCTGAGCAATATTCATCAAGAGAGAGACAAAACACTGATCTCGTATCTTATGAGGTTCCATAATGAGCAAGCGAAGGTCGCGGATGCACCCGAAGAATCAATCTGAACTTTTTTAACTGTGGGCATCAGGCCGCAAACGGGGCTGTGGAAAGAGCTCCAAAGTGAAGACCATGTGAGCTTGGCAAAGTTTTATCAAATGGCTGCTAAGCATAAACGGGTGGAAAGCTCGCTAGCTACCCTCACCAGAAGCTCGCTGCAAAGAGCCCCAGACAGGTGACAAGATTGCCCAGTAGACAAATGAGGGGCCAAGACCGCAATGACAAGGACCGAAACAGTTTCCAAAAGAGGAAAAAAACAAAAAACTGCGGGAAAAGATAACCTTTCCCGCGATATGCAGAATACACCCCCCTCACTCAAGACATAGCTCATCTATATAAGGTCTCCCATGAGGCTAAGAGATTGCCAGCTCCAAAAACAATGTTGGGGGGGCTCTAAGCAGAAGAGATCGGCAAAAATATTATCGATATCACTAGGACATCGGGCACAACACCAATAAGTGTCGAGTTTTAAAGGACACCATTGAAGATCTGATTTGAAGGGGCCACCTAAAAGAATTTGTTAAGGAGGCGCTAACTTGCAAAAGTATTGGCGAGTAGAATAATCAGATCCAAAATGCCCCAGCAATGCCAACAATGATGTTCTGGTAGGCATGATCTAGGGAGGGCCCGACATTGTAGGGAGCTCAAGGTGTTCTGGTGGGCAATATGCTCAAGAGGCCAGAACAGAGTCGATCCCTCGAATAATGAGTTATGAATAGAAGTCGCCGAAACGGCCTAGACAAGAGAGCGAGGTGATAGGGTTCACAGTAGAAGAGTGTGAAGAATCTCCTCGCCATAATCATGATATGATTGTAATCGCAACGAGAATCGACCACGTCAGAGTACTACAGGTGATGGTCGATAATGGCAATGCAGCGAACATCATCTTCTTGGGAGCTTTCCGAGAAATAAGGTTAACAGAGAGAGATTTAAGGGTGTGCCCATCACTGCTTTATGGATTTACTAGGGACAACCTAGTCCCCAAGGAAACAATTGACCTGCGCATGACCCTAGAGGCAAAACCCAAAATTAGAATGGTGATGGAAGAATTCTTAGTAATGGATTGCCTGACCACTTACAATGTCATCCTTAGAAGACAAATCCTTGATGATCTGAGTGTACTCACCCTGGTGCACTACCAAGCAATGAGGTTCCCGACTCTAGGTGGGGTTGCAATGATTAGGAGTTATAGGAAAGAATCTTGGGAGTGCTATAATTATGATATTCATGTTACATTGAAATGGCTGCTCCCGAGAACCATGGTCATCGCAGAGACCGAGCTAAACCCTAGACCTTTGGAGGGATACCATAAATCCTCGCATCCATAAAGAAGAGCCCGCAGCAAGGCCAACAGGCAAGCTACAAGAAATATTTGTCAACGAGCAAGACTCGACTTGCATGTTGAAAATTGGTAGTTGTCTGAGCGACGAGCTAGCGAATAATCTGGTGAGATTCCTAATGAAAAATCTCGACGTGTTCGCCTAGGTACATGCGAATATGGTGGGGATCAACCCCGAGGTAATGTGCCACAAATTAAATGTCAACCCAGAAGCTCAACCAATCAGACAGAAAAAGAGATCTATAGATGCAGAGCTCTCCAAATCGCTCAAAGATAAAGTTGACAAACTCTTGAATATTAATTTCATCAAGGAAGTGAAATACCCGAACTGCCTCGCTAACCCAGTCTTGGTGAAAAATTCGAATGGCAAGTGGCAGAGTTGCGTCTACCTCACAGATTTGAACAAAGCTTGTCCGAAAGACAACTTTTTGCTACCCCGAATTGACCAATTAGTTGATGTAACGGTCGGGAATGCTCTACTTAGCTTCATGGATGCATACTAAAGATACAACCAGATCTCGATGTATTAGCCTGATGAAGAACACACCTCATTTATTACTAACCGGGGTATTTACTATTATAGGTTAATGCCATTTGGCTTGACGAATACTAGAGCGACTTACCAGCATTTGGTGAACAAGATGTTCATCGAGCAAATCAGCAAGACAATAGAGGTGTACATCGTTGATATGCTCGTCAAATCTAAGGTTGCTGAAAGCCATATTGAGCACCTGGGGGAAATGTTTGACATCCTCAAAAAATAAAGAATAAAACTCAATCCTCTAAAGTGTTCTTTCAGAGTAAGCTTAGGAAAGTTTCTGGGTTTCCTGTTCAATCAGCGAGGTGTCGAAGCCAACTCAAAAAAGATTCAAGCTCTCCTAAACATGAAAAGCCTGACTAGTGTACGGTAGGTTTAGAGCTTGATAGGGCGTGTGGTCATACTTAGTAGGTTTGTCTCCCAAGCCACAAACAGGTGCCTACCATTCTTTGAAACCCTGAAGGGGAACAAGGGTTTCAAATGGACATAAGAGTGTGAGAAAGCATTCCAGGAATTAAAGAAGCATTTGGGGTAGCCTCCTTTGCTGTCAAAGCCTATCCAAAGCAAGCCTTTGCTGCTATACTTATCGTTATCTAAGTCCACGATTAGCACGACTTTGGTACACGAAGAAGCGGGAGTGCAATGGTCGGTGTACTACTTGAGCAAGAGGGTGCTCGATTCTAAGACAAGATACCCAGAGATGGAAAAGCTTGCCTATGCACTTGTCATTGCCGCTCAGAAGCTGCGGCCATATTTTCAAGCACACTTCATACATGT